TCACTAAATAACGAAATTTGAATCCAAATAAACTGTTTGAAAAAAAAGAACGATAATGTTACTCGAAGAGAGGACGATGACAGGTGATGGCCGTCGATTGTTGCGCTGTATGGAGCAGAAATCGAAGCGAGGAAGACCGGTAGAAGACGAGCCAAAGTCCGCAGATGTTATATTCACTCCGAATGGAGAGAGAATCGGAGATGAAGAAACCGCCATTTCCACTTGCCTGAGCTCCAGAGAATGGAGCGTCTTTCTCACTTATCTCTGAAAAATATGAACGTTATCTCTAACATGGGCCGAGGACGATCCAAACGGCCCATTTATAGATGGGCTCGGTTAGAGTGATTAGGGGCCCATTACAGGCCCAACAAATAGTACCTTCCTCGAAGTTGGTGCTTTGATAACAGACACGTGCAAGATCATCCAACCAAACCATCCAATAAGGATCTCGGAAAGCTAGTCATACACAAACGCGACACGAAGACAGATGAAGTGCAACAGGAAAAAAAAGGTCACTGTACAACAACAAAATACATGCACCCACGGAGTCTGCCATCACAGTCATAGTACCACGTGGCGGGCGCTGAACCGTTGTTGATAAGATGCGTGGACAGAGCGCGTCACAACGTCCGCCACCAACTGTCTGACTGTTTTTAATAAATAAACGAAAAATCCAATTGGAGTTAATAATTACTGCGTCGTGATCAAGATTGACTTTTCAACGGCGGGCAAAGACTACAAATTTGCCCAGTTCCGAAGCCGAGAGTGAGAGAGAGAGAGAGAGAGAGAGAGAGAGAGAAGTATCTCCCGCTGCGTCTAATTAATTGTTTAATTGTTTAATTGTTTAATTGCTTAATTGCTTAATCGATCGATCACAGACTGAAAGAGAAGAAGAAGAAGCAGCAGCAGCGCAAGTTGCCCAATCCGATAGAAAGAGAAAAATGGGAGCTTGTGTTTCGAGGCCGAAGGGCTGCACTTTTGGGTTTTCAAAGAAGAAGAAGAAGAATGGCCGCCAAAGAAGAATTATTCGCAGGCGCGGTTGGCTTTCCGTTTGCCCCCCCCCCAAAACAATCCTTTCAACTTACTGTTTGTTTGGTCCCTTTTTTAATTTATTTTTGCAATCTTTTTTATTTCAATTTCATTTAATTCGCTGAGAACTGACCAACAGGAAGTATGGATGCGGCGTGGTTTGATGCAAACTCGGCGATTGAGTCCGAGCGAGATGACGAGTTTTATAGTGTTCATGATGGTATTTTTTTTTTTCCTCACTTTTCAGTATTTTTTCAAATTTTTAGACTTTTTAAACATATGGAATGGAATGGAATGATGGAGTTAAGAAGTGGGTTGCTTTGATTTGCAGATGTGGTGTCTCTAAATGGGTCAGAAAGTGCATCCACTTTGAGCATTTCATCGCCAAAAGGTCACAATTTTTCTCGCCAGAGAACAAGGGAACCGCAACCACCATTGCATTCGACCTCTGCTGTGTCGGCAGATGAAGTTGTGGATGAGAGTGTTGGAGTGGACAAAATGCAAGCGTTGGAGCATTGTGGGATTCTTCAAAATGCTTGCTTGCCTTGTCTGGCTAGCCCCTCAGGTGACAAGAGAATAAACACAGCCACACCAAGTTTGAGGAGGAAAGTTCTTTCCTTTAAATGGAGGGAAGGGCATTCTGCTGCAGCTACAGCAGCTGATCCTACACCCACATTATGTGAGTATTGCCCATAGACTCATTTACCCTTTTCTTATTATTGTGAATTTATGATACAACTTTATAATGTGGACTGGCAGCTGACTTCACCTTCTGTCTTTGTGTTAGTATCACCAAAGGCATTTGTGAAAAGACCACTTGCAGGTTCTACAATTCCATACTGCCCCATTGAGAAGAGTATGCCAGATTGTTGGTCACCTCTTGAGCCAAACACATTCAAAGTCAGGGGGAAAAATTATCTTAGGTGTGAGCGTAGTATTTTGATGAGGTTTATTATTATTGTTATTTTATTTTCTAAATAATCTCGCTGATTTATTGTTGCATCAACTCTTCATTTGCTTGACAGAGATAAAAAGAAAGAGCCTGCTCCAAATTGCGCTGCATTTTATCCTTTTGCCGCAGATATTTTCTTATCTCAGAGGAAGATTGATCATATTGCTCGTTTTGTGGAACTTCCTGTTGTGAATTCAGTTGAAGATGTCCCTTCTATTCTTGTTGTAAATGTTCAGGTGCCTCTCCTTTAAAACTTTCTTTTCCTGGACTTTGTACCTCGTATTTTGTTTCATTATATTTTTTTTGACTGGAAGTTGAAAAGTGCTGCGAATCTCTTATGGTTATTTTGTATTCTGATCATATTCTGTCAGCATGTTCTTTGCGCCAGAATTTGAAATTCATAATCATAATGTGCCATGCTAAACTTGTTGATAAGTTCATAATCTGTCCTCTAGGCTAGGGAATAGTTTTTCTTCTAATGCTAAGCATTGCTATATAATTTTTCTCACATTCTATGTGTATTCTTCTATGCTGCAGATACCACTTTACCCAGCCAATTTTTTTCAAGGCGAAAGTGATGGAGAAGGAATGAATTTAGTTATGTACTATAAGATTTCTGAAAGTTTTTCGAAAGAGCTTCCGCCTCATTTTCGAGAAAGTATCAGTGTAAGTTGCCTGAAGTCCTACTTGTGGCCGAATCCTGATTTTCAACATGTATAAAAATCTGATGTTTTTGGGCCTGGAAAACATACTTCATAGTAGACTCATGACTCAATTGTTGTGTTGATTGAGTACAACCAGTTGATTAAATATTTTGCGTGCTTGTTTTGTTCCTTGACAGAGATTAATCAATGATGAAGTGGAGAGAGTTAGAGGATTCCCTGTTGATACAATTGCACCCTTCAGGGAAAGATTGAAAATCTTGGGCCGAGTGGCAAATTTGGAGGATCTTCATTTAAGCACAGCTGAGAAGAAGCTAATGAATGCTTACAATGAAAAACCTGTTCTTTCACGTCCTCAACATGAATTTTACTTGGTAAGTTTTGGTTTAGATTTTTCTGCATGCCTTTTAGTAAAAAAGTAATAATCGCAGGTTACACCATATAGCGTGCGTTAGTTACTCATTCTTTTCCCCCATCATACTCTTACAGGGAGAAAACTACTTCGAGATTGATTTGGATATGCACAGATTCAGCTACATCTCTAGAAAAGGCATTGAAGCATTCCACGAGAGAATGAAGCTATGCATATTGGATTTTGGTCTCACAATTCAGGTAAACAATGTATTACATGATTCTGAGCGTAACTTTTTTACCTCCTACTTATATCCATACCTAATCTGTGCTATGCATTGTATTTAAACAGGGGAACAAGGCAGAAGACTTGCCAGAGCATTTATTATGCTGTATACGGTGGAATAAAGTCGACTACAATAATAAATCATCATCTGGGTTTTGAGTCAAAAATCTCTGTAATCCCAACAAGAGCTTAAATACTGAAGGATCTTAAAATAATGAAGAACAGATAAACAAGTTAACTTCAACTATGAAGAACTCATAAACAAGTTAACTTCTACCAAACCACGGGTTTCTTGGACGCCAAAATTCGTCTTCTGAAGTCTCAAATTGTGACGTTTGAGCATCTTTGAGTTATTTGTATATATCCTCTTAAATGTAAAGTTTTGGCAGGAAGAGTAATATAAAGAGAATAAATTTTTTATTTATACTCCCATTTGATTTATGCTTGTGCTCTCTACGAAGGTTGCAACCCCTGATTAATCAGCTTTTTGGCCATTGCATTGCAACCTTCCGCTACAACCTGATCATAATCTGCCTCTTTTAATCCTGTTCCTCCGGTCTTTTTCCCTCGTGGTAGGCTTGGTGTTCTGGTCCATTTTATCCGTTGATTATATCTGAAAGCTGCTCTTACATATGATCCTTCAGCGTTCTGATCAATATTTCTATCCCTTTTCTTAAATGTTCTTTGCGTTATCTGCATACTGATGATCAATAATGTCATCTTCCCAAATGTCTGAGAAGAGCATGGCCGACAAAGATTTTCATTCATAATTGGCAGGTACCGACGACACACACGTGCATCCATAATCACAAAGCTGACTAATTTAAAGAGATTTAAGCTATGTAGTTCCACAATTAATTACCTTCACAATGTACATATAAAACTGAGATCCAATCTAGGCTGCAGGAGACCGCATACATCGACCAAACAGGGTAGAAAAGGAACATCCTCGATCTTCTTTTTCTGGCTTAGAAGGTACAGATGTCTCTGGTAATGGTGGGGAAGGTGAATCAACATCCTTTCTTTCTTGAAATCTTTCGTCGAGATTCGAAGTATGCTCTTGGCTGTCACTTTTGTTAATGGAAATTGTGACCTGCATAGCGGGCTTCTGTTCGAGTACTTGAAACCTATCCTCCCAAATGAGGCCGGAAGAGCCTTGCCTCCTGAATGAAATTGATGATCTCGGCAATGCATTCATTGATCTCAATACTTTCTGTCTCTGTCTCTTTCTATTTCTCTGTGTTCGTCTGTCTTTGTTTCGTGTCTCACTCATGAGGATGATATTAAAAGGCTTTCCTTTTTAAACTAACAAAACTGTTTTTTGTTTTGAGGTTGTTTTGCTCTCTTTAAGTTTGTGGCCACTGGCCAGTTACTCATAAATAAAGCCACAATTCTATTGGAGGAGAGGGAGAGGAGTTATTCTTAAGTGACTTGGCAATATGAATAGGCATTGCAAGTCCAGCAGAGATGGTAGTTTTTGTAGTAGTTAATAATATTCTAGATACAATTACATTGACCCTATCCACATGCCTTGGACCCCAGTTCATTTCTGTCTGTCTTTTTCTTTTCTTTTCTTTTCTTTTTACCTGTCTTTGGTTGAGTAACTATGATGTCAAGTGTTAATAAATTACCTTAAATGTTATTTATGACTTATGAAAAATTAAAGCTTCATTATTCAATTAATATAATAGTAAAGTGTGACATACAATGCAAGCACTAATTAATAATCGAAAGAAGCATCTAGAAGTTCAGGAAACGCTGCCTGCATCTCACTATCTTGACCCAAGATAGTATCCACAAAAGAAGTCATGGAAGATGAAGAAGCTTGATCATGAGCCAAGTTATTGTTCCTTTGGCCTCCAATATTAATGGCTGATGATCCAAAATCACATGCCCGAGTTGTCGCATTCAAGTTGAGTTCACTTCCACCAGCAAGTGTGGGAATAACTGATGATGATGACATCATTGTTCCATGGAAATCTTGTTCTTGCTTGAGTTTATCAGCTGACGAAAAGGGGTCATGCAGAAGAAATTCACTCCAATTAAAGGAAGAAGATGGTGTAATTTGAGCCTCATGAAGAGATTGCTGGCACAAGAAAATTGGCTGAGAGCTTAATTGATGATCAGTGGCATGAGGAGAAGATGATGATGAACAGGAGGAAGCTACTTCATTCAAAAAGTGTGGTTGCACTTGCACACTGTCTTGATTGATTTCTTGAAACTGAGCCACAATACCCAATGAAAGAGTGCTAGCAGTGGAATTGTCTGATCCTATAGGGTTCATCATCATATTGGAATATGTGTTGACGCCCAATGGAAGTCCTGTGATGCCTGAAGACGGCTCTGATTTGGGCACGAACGTGTTGTTCGAGTTCTTAAAAAAGAACCCGAATTGATTATCGATGCTTGGGAGGCTGCTGATGTTTCCATAGTCAGAGAGGATCTGAGAAAAGGGTTTATGGGTTACAGGGTCAATTCCCATTTTGGAAAGCTTCTTTTTCAACTTAGTGTTCCAGTAGTTTTTGACATCATTATCTGTTCTTCCGGGTAGTAGCTTTGCAATGAGAGACCACCTGCACTACATAAGCATTGGGGTTAACTTAAGAGCACACTTTAGAGCTTAGCGAGAGAGAGAGAGAGAGAGAGAGAGAGAGAGAGAGAGAGAGATTATGCATGCAGTTCTAACAGAATACAGGCTGTTAAAACAGTTGTACATAGATATATATCCAGTTGGCAGTAATTTTTGTTGTGATCTTCTAGAACTTCAGTCACATAAGCTCTTTTCGCATCAACAAATTCGGAAAACTCATTAAAAACAATCAGATTCCTTAAAACAAACCAAATCACCAGGAATTATCTGTCATCTTCTTGCATATATCTGCAGGATATCTTGTGATCTTTAAATTTTATTGATGTTTTGATGTTAATCTTGGTTGATCTCTTGGTCTTTTATCTACTTAAACTAGTTGCTCTGGTTTTAGGTGGATTTGGTTTGTATTATCTTAAAGCCAAGTACTATTGAAAGGAGAAAATAAGTAAAAGAAAACTCCACCTGCTGCCTATAGCTTCATGAAGGTTAATAATATGCTCTTCCTCTTGAGGAGTGAAGCTGTCATGTTTGAGGTCAGGCCTCAGGTAATTAGTCCACCTAAGCCTGCAGCTCTTCCCGCATCTATTAAGTCCTGCAAAGAGACTCATGCAAATACTTAATTTAGAAACTTGTATGTATGAATATGATGTCAATAATACCTGCATTAAAAAAGTTAAGCATAAAACTTAAACCTGCTTTCTTTGGAACCAAAGTCCAATTTCCAACTCCGTGTTTCGAAACGTATGCAAGAAGTTTGGCATCCTCTGCTGCAGTCCAGATGCCTCTTTTCACGTTTGATTTATCGCAGCAAGGTGGCCTTCCCATTGAGAGAGAGAGAGAGAGAGAGAGAGAGAGAGAGAGAGGTGAATTATGTAATGGTGATGCAAGTTCCAAACTTTGCAAGTACATTTAAAAAGAGGAAAGGATTGGATTAATTAGCAAAGAGAATAGGCAAGAAATGCATGCCATTCGGCTCTCAATTAACCAGAATTGCATGAACATTTTCATCTCTTAGAAAACGGTTTAACATGACATCACAAAACTATGCATCTCTCTCTCTCTCTCTCTCTCTCTCTCTCTCTCTCTCTCTCATCTCATGTATTGGCTCACTCTACCCAGGTTCAAATTGGGTGGATTGTTTGGTTAAGGCTCAAGCAGAGTAAAATTAACAGTTTTCTCAAGCTTAACAATGAAACTATTGTAAACTAGGCCTCCCTTTTGTACAAGGGTTCACGGTCCATGTACAATTTTCATCATGCAAGCGAACCTAGCATGCAAACATCTTATGATGGCATTTTGCAGGCATCCACTAGTCAGTAAGTACTGCGAATTTAGACACCTGCTACAAGGACCTTATTTTGGCCCCTAATTTTTCACATTTCATTTCAGGGTTTTTTTTTGGGGGAAGAAAAAGTTCATGATCGTCACCGTAGACAGAACTGGCTTATGCTTCAACGCTTAACAGGAAAATTGGAAAATCGGAAAGAAACCACCTTTTTTTTTACCCAAATTTGTCTATAATAATATCATCCTTTATACTACTAAAAATAGTGGAGAAATTAAAGGTTCATCTTTGTGATAGTAAACTGCTCAAGTACTGAATATACTATAAAAGTTTAATCTGGGCAGCAGCTCTAACATAAATATCTCACTATGGCCGAGCTCGATGTTATATACAACTAAGCATTAACCTCTCTGTATAGACCCAAGAAGCCAAATAACTGCAAATATTGACCTCCCTAGGATGAACACATATTGCAACTCTTCCTACAAAACCCAGGAAGACCCTTCGAACCCACCATATATGTAGGGTTCCTTTCACATTCACCAGCTTTGGCCCATAGGGGGCAGTTGTCATTCCCATCCGCACAGTCCCCGCTAACTGCATGCTTTAGTGACTTTTCGAAGGATCTCACATGAATCCACTTGGTTGCAGACCATTTCTCACCCTCAATGACAGGGCAGCTCCCATGCAAACTGCTTGGATCGGTTGTTGCATCAGGATGAAGACTGAAGAACAGCAAGGCATCACCCTTATAGGGTTTCACTGTCACGATGCAAAAAATAGAACTTTGACAGTCAAACAAAATTATGATAGGAGACACAAACGCAGTAGATAAATGATTGTGACATGAGTAAAATAGCATAACAGCACAATCGATGTTCAAATGAATGAATTTCAATGGCCATGTAGCTTGTTCTCTGACTTAAATTGGGGTTGATATATGAACTACACATGCAGGAAGAAGAATATTCACAACCCCCTTCCTCCTCTCTCCAACTCAAAGTGAATTAATACAAATTTATAAATAAACTCAATCCTAGACATGTATTTATAAAAAAACCCAAGCACTATTTAAACATAAAAACACACCCAAAATCAACCACAAAGTCAACTTTTTGGGTGTGTTTATAAATGGGTTTTGAGTGTGTGTAATGATGGGTTTTGGGTGTGTTTATATGTTTCAATAGTGCTTGGGTTTTTTTATAATTTCAACCCCCATTTTGGGTGTTTTAGTGAAACTCCAACATGAATTAGTTAAATAGTGATACACATTTGTGAATTAGATATAAGAGAACTAAACAAAAAAATTCAAATACATTTAGTTTATGTGACCAGATCATAAAGTCATACCTGAATAGCCTTGTTTAGCACAATCAGACGCGTCCTCATCCTTAGATTGAGACATTTGGGCCTGTTGGCACATGAGAAAGAACAATGAAATTCAAGAGGTAGGGGAGAAAAAAGGACAGGAGAACCCAGTGATGCAAGTAACCATTTACCTCCGTATTCGGAAAGACAGTTTCCCCACCCTTTTCAACATTAGAGAGATACATCAACACAGTGGCAACACGGTGGCCACCCAATTCTTGGTTAGCCTTGTCATGAAAATAATCAAAATGTGGTTCGTACTTTTGGCCATGTTCATAGTGCAGTATCTGAATGGACTCCCCATTCTCTGATTAGAGAATAAAATAGTTCAATGAAGATGAAATAAAATACTTTCTTAAAAGTCCAACAAATCATAAATCAACAGCACGTCGGAAATTTACCAATTGGAAGAAAGGTCCATGCAGCAATCCTGGCCTCAATGTTAGCAACTACTTCATCCTTTAAGGTGAAACAAAGAACACCAAGTCAGCCTTCTGAGTTCCAAAGACAGAAAGAGTAGATAATATAGTAACAGAACATGGATTGCAATTTTTAATACATGCTTAACACATGGCTACATTCACCACACAGTGGGATTGGACCTCAGAGCATAGTAAGAAAGATAAACACTTGGCAGCTAAACAGAAGTAGGAACTTCTCTTCTTTCCAACACAAATATAAGAAGGTGTGATCAATAATCCCCTTCAGAACTTTTGTACTAAGAAGAACATCAACATAAGTTCAAAACTGCTGAAATGTAGGTTCGAAACTGCCTAAAAGACTAGCATGAGTTGTTGAAACTACCACGAGCGGGTATAATTCAATGTGCAACATGGTAAGATGCACTAACTTATATAAATCTTCTATTTGTAAGCAATTTACATGAATCTTCAAAAGTATATCGGATCACATAAAGTGAAGAAAAATAAATCATACCTCGCTAATTGCATTGATTTAAACAAAACCATTCAATGAAATAAAACCATTAGTTCAAGAAAGCAAAGGAATTAACAAACCTGAGCTTTCTGAAGGAACATTCCGGAGCTCGTCCGGACTTCACTTTCTATACTCTTACCAGACTCATTATCAGCCACCATAGACTTCTCCAGCTTATCCTTTGCCTGCCCCCAAAATTCACACAAACCAAATGATATTTAAAAGTACATTATTAAACAAAGACTCTAATTACTGTTTTGGACGGACTAAAACAGCAAAATTCAACGAAAATATGGGGGAGAAAAATAATTTACAATCTCGATTAGATGATCACATTCCTCCTCAGAAAGAAAACCCTTATAAAGAAAAGCCCTGCAGATTGTTGATCACACAAAAGATGAAAAAGAAAGAAAAGTTAATGCAAACAATAGAAATAATCAAACAATGATTTTTTTTTTTTTAAAGAAAGAAGAGAAATTCAGCAAAAAGTAATGGAAATGCAATTGAGAAAGAAAACCTGGGATGCCATGAAAGTTGAGTGACCCGAGTTGGATCAAAGGTAGCAGAAGAAGCGCCTCTTCTCAGTCTAAGCACCGATCCCTCCCTGCAATGCAAACAACGTTCAGACAAAATGATTCAATGAAAATACAAACATGTGTTTGTAGAGAGAGAGAGAGAGAGAGAGAGATACGTTTTCTTCTCCTCGATCAATAATGGGACGCGACTTCTGGAATAGGAGAGATGAGGGAAAATGCAAAGGAAACAAAGAGAAAGAGTGAGCAAAAATCGAGAATCCATGAAAAAATCTAGGGTTTTGGCAAGGTCTGAAATGTACAGAATTGGAGAGAAGAGAGGGAAGACTCGTTTTATGGTGGAGAAAAATAAGAAAACGGTGGGTGTGTTGTTTTGCAATTAATTCATTGAAATGTCAAATGACTCTGTTTGGTTGGCAAATGGGGAGGTGAGTGCGTGGGGGTTTCGTTTAGAACTTTCTCTTGGTTCAACTCGAGACGACTGAATGGGGGCGCCCACTGAATATCGTCGGTTTTGTTGGTTATTGTATTGTCAGTGGTCGCACTCGCAAGTTCGCAACACCATTGTTATTATTTTCTGGAAGCTTCCTAAGAATTTCAAGAAAGTGATCGACACTCGCAACACCGTTGTTTTGTATAGAATTCTGTGTTTAGCTCTTGTCCAACGAATACTTACCGACAAATATTGGGCTTTGGAATCTTGTGGGTATATTGTGCTCGTTTCAAGCCCACCTATTCATTGTTGGGCCAGTTAATTTTCATTGTTGAAACTTGACTGCACATTCAGTTTGCCCATGTTTTTATTTTACGGTAGAAATTTTTATATGTTCCGGGTACACTATGTGGCTGGTATACCATTCAATAAACATAGGATATGTGGAATTATTGTCTGCATTTCTTTTTATAACATGTGACGGGCTACATTGCAAATATTTCATATGTCTTCCGTCTATTGGATGGTACACCACGTGGTGTACCCAGAACACCCAAAAATTACTCCTTTTACTGACGTTCAGATAAACTAATGCATCTAGCGCAAAATTGTATTGTTTTCTACAAAATGACGACGACGCAACACCAATCAACACAAAAAGTACAGATCAAACGAGAAAGAAATGGCCATATTAATTAGCATGCATATGTGTCGTTATACAATGCATGTGATTATATGAGATTAAATTCACGAGAAGAATGAAAAGTACACGATTTACGTATCATTTCTAGCTTTAAATCATCAGCAGCCCATGATTTTCTTAGCTGCGGCAGCACGCTTAGGCTTCTCCTCCACAATGCCGTCGTTTCCGGCCAAAGCCCGGTACTTGTCCTTCCTAGTGAACGTCGTGCACTCGTACGACAAGCTCGCGGCGATGTTCCTCTGTATGTAATTCGCCACCTCATGGCTCGACTTCCCGGCCCCACACGTCAAGTCGTACGGTAACTTATTCAAGAAGTTCACTTCATAAGCCGGGCTAGGGTTCATGAAGAAGTAAAACGGATCCATCCCTTTCCACCCTCTGGCCGTGGTGCCGTGGAACATGCTCATCCGGTTCGACATCGCCACTGGCACGAGCTCGTCGGTCAGCTCCGCGAACAGCGCCGAAAACCTTAGCAAAAACGGCTCACGACATGTAGTCCCTTCGGGGCATATGACTAAGTCTTCTTGTTCAAGTAGCTTCTTGATCATGTTGGCGTCGGTGACTCGGTCACGGCTGAGCCGGACGGTCTTGATGGGAGAGATTATCTCCGAGAGACGGGACAAAGAGTACGTGACAGCCGGGATCGGACGGCCTAAGGCGGTGGATAGAAAAATCGGGTCAAGGAGGGTTCGGTGTGAGCAAATGAAAAGAACTCCGCTTTGGCCTATCGATTTCTTAGCGGGAGGAGGTGGGGTGCCTTTGATGTACACCCGTACGCCCAGGGCCCAAAAAGCGTAGTATACGACGGGCATAGGGAGCAGTGCGCCTGCTGCGATGCGCAAGCAAGCTAACATGAAGCCGACGGGGATCCAAAGAATTGTGAGCAAAGCCATGAGCGGCGTTGGTTTCTGGACTAGCCGGCCGTCATGGAACACTATCGGCTTCGGCAACTTGTCGTGGCTTACGGGCTCGACTTCCGGCTTAGCTGGAACCACGTAGCTCTCTTTGCAAAGCTTCATGAACGGGAAATCCGTTTTCCGGTCTCCGAGCCCAATATCAGGGGCCGAGGACGGGTCAGTACCGAAGGCTTTGTTGAGCGCGTCGGCTTTGTTTTTTCCGACCGTAATCCCAGGGCTAAGGACCCACCCGGTAGCTCGGCCTCTGTACGTGGAGATCTCTGTCCCGAGCACCATGTCCGCGCCCAAAAACTCCTTCAAAAACGCCTCCACCATGATCCTCGGGTTCGCCGTCAAAACGCAGCGTTTCCCGCAGGAAGAGAAGACTCTCCACGTCTCGGAGTGGAGGTCAGTTGAGTAGAATTTCGGGAGAACCGCACGTGCAACAGATTCGATGTCGGAAACTCTCATGCCTGCGAAAGTTGCGAAAACGAGGACGCGGATGCCGGCGGACTCAGAGGCACAGTAGTACAAAAGGCCGGCGAGTGGAGATGCGAGTAGTAGAAAGAGAAGCCTTAATATGCCTCCGACCTCAAAGGCCACGAGGGCGAAGTAAGGGAAGGAGCTGCGGCCTCTGAGCAGAGTGCCGTCCATGTCCGCCACCACTGTGTGCTTTTCGCGACCGATTGACGGACATTGGTGGATTGTTGGGAAGGTAGGAAGAGAGCATTCTTTTGTCGTCGAGGCCATGCTGGGAAGGAAGGAAATTAGCCAATTTGGCCAATGTGGCTATGGAAAACTGGTACTAATAATAATGTTAGTGTCAATTTGTTATTAGCACCTGGCTAATTGGGTTGAGTTGTGGGTATTTATAAAGTTTTGTGATTAAATTTTAGTGAGACAAAATGTTTTGGCTTATGAGACCAATGACAGTGGCGCCGAGATTTCCGAAACGAAGTGGGGGAAGGCAACAAAATCTTCGGATTCGCCGATGTAGTTAAGCTAATTAATACGTGCGTGTTAGGCTTAATAATGAACGAGAAATAAAGAAAGATGCTGTAAATATTCGGTAATTAGCCATGCATGACGAATATTTGATCTCTTATCAAGTTCTTAATGTTTTTAATATGCGTTTTGCTGAAGCACTTAAAAATTAGGGGTAAGCATCTTCGTTTAGCTCGCCGTTGTTTGTCGTGTTGTGCCCTCGTCTTTGTCTGGATCCTAAGGTGATGGGATGTTGCTTTCATTTCTTTGTTTTTGATCGGCCCACCGGTGTCCCAATTACCATAATCCCATATAGCATACATGACTTTTCAAACTCGTCATTGATGATGAAGAGGAGGAGGTTGAAAATTACAGGACTTCAAAATTATGAAGGAAAATATCAATATGGTGTTAGTTGGATTAGCTTAGATTTTGGCGTGCTCTTAAGTGGTCTTGAGTTCAATTCTTCATGATACCCGTGTGTGTGAATTTTCCCATTATTTCCTAACTTTTGGCATAAAAAAATAAAAATGAAGGAAAATTATAATTTTATTATGTTATCAGGGATTTGCAATTGATATATTTTATAAAAATGGAGTGACGTGACATTTTCCGTATGAAATTCAATGAGATTTAAATACTTGTCTTCGTCCTATCAAGATACTGGTGGGAAAAGAAGACCAGTTCTTCATCAATGGACCATAGATGTGATCGCACCAGCCAATGTGGTCTGCCGTTGGTGCGTTTGGTGTGTAATTAGTAGAGAAGAGACTATATGATAATAAATGTTATTTGGCCTCTGGAGGAGAGGTGAAGTCACAAACAAAACGAGGATATATGCATGAGGTTTTAAAAAAACGCGTGTAATTGGTGAAGCTAATTGAGCTGAGTTTAAAATTACTTTGGTGCAAGTCAACTTTTTGATCTTTGACTGTCAAGCCTGTCTTCGATGATAGAGAGGAGAGGGCGAAAACTACTACAACTTTAGAATTAGAGATTTAAATGCTATCAATCTGTGTATAATGCTCGTTCATCCTATCAATATAATATGGTGGTGAAAAAGGCCCTATCATCTTCATCCATTTTAGACGAACAATTAACGAAACAAAATTATATGAAAATAATTTGAAATCTTAAGTGATGTTCGTGTAATATCTGAAATTGGGACTACATGAACTAAATGAAAACTGATAAAATTACCGAGACCGAGTGTCATTTGGCCTTTAGAGGAGAGGTGAAGTCAGGAACAAGGCTGAATGTGGTTAAAAGAAAGACATGTAACTGGTGAAGCATTGAGCTGAATTTTGATTAGTTTGGCTCAATATTATTGCGTTCAAGTCAACTTTGATAGATGGTAGAAATGTAGGAAGTATGCTGCTAAACAGAACTTGCAGACGAATCGATGCCATGTTTATTCATTTGATCTTTTCTCAGTGTCTAGTAATGACCACCAAATTAACTTGAATTGGAGAAGTAGCTAGAAACCAAGAAAAGGACACAGCGATAAAGTATAATCTTTATAGAAAGCCTGGTTGCACATGAAAAAGAAAGTAAAGAACCACATGGAACAATTCAAGAAAAGCAGAATCCCACAAGGATAAAGGGGAAAAATAAAAAGAACAAAGAGATCAATGTGCCAGGGTAGGGAGACAAACAACAGGGTTCGTTCGTATTTTCTGTATAGTCCATGTCAAAATTTTCTTTTTCAAAAGTGCATTTCCAGGTAAAGTTGCAGGCATTTTTCAGGTCATTTCAGACTGCGGCATATAGACAAGAAAAGAGAATCTGGAAAAGCGTTTGAGACCATCCCACCACCACACACCAATAGCCAGAGGGCCACCTTAAGAACCTCCCAGGACAAAGAACAGACGACAGCAAGGGAAGGGTCTATACCCTACAATTCTTTTTCATGGTCGTTTTTAATTGTTCAATTATATATTAGAAGAGGAAAACATGCTTGTGTAAAAAACATACCATGCAATGGTTTAAATGAAATAATCATGTGAAGAAAAGATTCATTGAGAACATGAGTAAGCGCCAAGAACGTCACAAGACTGATTGCTAGAAATCGTTTCCTTTTCCATCAAAATTCATCAGAAAAATTCAAAATCTAAATATGGACCTGACGACCGGTTTGAGTCAGTAGCTCCCTTGTCATTTTGAGGCACTGCAGACTTGAATGTGTGATTTAGAACAGCAAGATCAAATGGTTTTGGGATCTCTGGAGGGTGTGTGCTGCGTATGAGAGCCCAATTAACATTTGCAAAGAAGGGGTGCTGTTTAATTTCTGTAGCACCTCTTTTAAATCCCAGTCTCTTCTGTGGGTTCTTTACAAGCAGGCCCCTGATCAAATCTTTAGCAGCAAAACTGGCATTAGACCCATCTGGAAACTTGAGAGACTGACCAACCACGTTGAATAGCGTCTCCCGGTTTCCATTGCCTTTGAATGGTGTCCTCCCATGCAGCAGCTCATACAAGAAAATACCAAATGTCCACCAATCAACAGCACTACCATGGCCATCGCCTCTTATTATTTCAGGAGCTAAATATTCATGTGTTCCGACGAATGACATAGAGCGGGCATTAGTTGGCTCAGCAATAAGTACAGGCAATGAATCTGAATTTCCCGAAGTTGATCTTTCACTTTTCTCCTTGGTTGATTTGGATCTTAGAAAGCGAGGCTTAAAGCAAGATGGTTGCAAGCAGGAAGGCTGAACACAAACTGGTAATTTGCAGGCTGGATCCAAAATACATGATGGCTGAATACAGTATGAAGAGATTCTACAAGACGGCTCATCACTAGACTGAACAAGAGTAGGATTCACATAACATCTTAATGATAAATCAAAATCAGAGAGCATGATATGGCCATCCTGCCTCACCAGCACATTTTCGGGTTTTAGGTCCCGGTACACCACTCCCATCATGTGAAGATACTCAAGTGCAAGAAGCACTTCTGAAGCATAAAACCTGCAAAAGATAATGAAACTATATCAAAAACCTAATTTACTTTTCAACATAATAACACGGTGACAGTCCACGGTGATGATGGTGCATAAGAATATAAGTCCCACGTTGGAGACTTGACTAAATGCTACCCATCAAAGTTTCAATCAAAAAGAGTTAATGAAAGTCCCAAACTTTGAATGCAAAATTATAATACAGGTTGGAAGGAGATAGCTTTTCCCCTGTGCCAACAAAACAGAACCCATCTACATCACAAAGTAGAACAAAAACAGAGCCCATCTTTATCGTAAAGTAGAACAAAAAAACAAAATAAAATCATATATAATCTGCTAAGCTGCAATAGCCGAGCAAAAATAGTTCACTTTTACTATATAACATTCGGCTAAGACTTAGGTTACAACGTAATGGGTAAATATGAACAATTAGCACTAACCTCGCAGCTTGTTCAGTAAAATGCTTCCCCGGCTGGCGCTGTCGAAGCGTATGAAGATCCCCACCACAGCAAAACTCCATTAACAAGCAAGAAAACTTCTCCGTCTCAAAATTCGAATAGAGGGTTGGAAGAAATGGATGGTCCAACAAACCCAGTATGTCTCTCTCAGTCTGAGCTCTTATCAGCTTCTTCCTCCCAGCCAACATGCCTCTGTCCATTACCTTCATGGCGAAAAGGCAACCAAGCCCTCTCAACTCAGCCAAGTACACGCTTCCTATATCCCCACAGCCGAGCTTTTTCAGAAGCCTGAAATGGCCCAGACCCAAGTCCCCATCTTTGGCTTTCACGCATTGTATCGCATCCCATCGCATGTCGTTGCCTTTGTGCGGCTTCGATGGGCAAAAGCTCCGAAAACTGCCCTCATTCGGATCGAACCTGCTGGAATTACCGGCCTGGCATAGAGTGCTTTTGTCACTATCGTCTTCGCAATCTACGATGGAGGACTCGGCATTTTCAGAGTTCTTGTTAGCTTCCTGAGTCCCATTGCTGACCTTGGTGCTGCTACTCACGCTGTTATCAGACACAGAAACGGTGCTGCTACACATGCTGATACTGAAACTGTTTTTGAAGCTAAGATCTTGGAGGCTGCTGATGACAGATTCACTGTCATGGGTTTCGACGGTATTGGCTGGTTTGTCCATGGTTGAAAAATTGCAGATGAAGTGTTTGGTAAAAGTTCAAAGAGAAAAAGGATGTGGTTAAAAATGGGGGTTGGTGGTCAAGGTGGGAGATGGGGTGTGACCGAGGTGGTCAAAGAGAGGGCGAGAGAGACGCGGGCGCGAAGAGAGCTGAGCATAGGGACCCAAAAGAGGGTGAATAATAAAAACAGTATTCAAATTTGAAATGAGAGTGTGAGTGTGGGAGGAACGGGGTGGTGAGAGACCCAATGACTGGGTTGGGGTCTGATTCCATTTCTTACTCTCTGTCCCAGAAAATGTTACAGCTTGGAGACAAAAACAAACACAGAGGAGATGAGAGAGAGAGAGAGAGAGAGAGAGAGAGAGAGAGAGAG